GCTGGGGAATTCTGGGAGTTGAAGTCCACTCATCTTAAAGTTGCCAAAGTTGAGAAACACTGATTTAAAAGGTCAGAAGACGTGTTCCTTCCAAAGCAGTTCATCTAGTGTGAGTAATAATAATACAACATAGGGTTGCTAGCCTTTCTCCCTTCCATGAGTCTTCAATTTCTATCCAAAATACCTTCAAAGTGCCTTCAGTCTTTGATTTTGAATGGGCTTTCTAGCACCTTAGAGACTAGCAGATCTATCAAGATAACTTTTGGAAGCTGGAACCCATGTTTTCTGCCCAGGAGGTTATTTTCCAATTGCATTTTGATTTAGGGAAGGGGGACATTGTAAATAGTGAGTTCCAAAAAAATAATACAATGTAAGAAGAGGTAGTTTCAAATCCCAAATCTTACGCCGTAAGAAATCTGTTACTTGTTACGATTCCATGAGACTCTTGTGTTTTCAGGTTTATTTCCTGCAAGAAAATTAATTTGGGTCCATTTCTGTTGTAATATCTGTTACATGCAAAGATACGCAATCTTGCTCGGGAGTGGGTTAACACACCATAGAATTCACATCCAAGTTTTTCTTGTAAATAGGAAAGATATACCGCCTTTATGAATTATGTTTCCGATCATTTTTACATCTTTATGTATTTTCCCAGACACAGCCTTTGGCATAAACAGGCAAATTTTTGGTTGCTGATTCTCATGCTAGCTTTAGAAAAATTCTGAATTTCAATCTTTAGTGTAGACAGGAGGAGTACAGCATTAGAAACACATCAGCAACTCTCCTTTAACACATGTCAAAGAATATTCTTTCTCCTATTGAAGTTCTAAGGTGTCTTCACAATTTATTTTTTTCTGCCTGCTTTTCTCAGTTATCCAGTTAGGTAAGGTTCAATTTGGAGTTGATGCTCATATGTGGGGGCACTCTTGAATGGTTATGCATATTATTTCATAACGCACTAAGCCAGCCCAGCTAACTTTGTTCATTTGCTTGGCCACACCATCCTTCATCCTTACAATACGATTCATAGATCAACTTGTATTGGTTTTTACTCCAATCCATCACTTTCTACCTATAAAGACTCATTGATCCTGTTCCCACAACAAGCTTAACCCTTAACCCAATACAGTAATAGAAAGTATCACAGGAAAAAGAATAGGGTAGAAAAACTCTTTGCTTTTGATTCTCTGATCTGAACACCTATTACCAGCATGCATTTAATCTGCCAGATGCTTGAAACACCTCCTGATTTTTGCATCAGTCAGCAGATCAGATACTTTGGCACATTTTGGTCACGTATCCAATCTAGGGATGTAAATATAGAATTGCCATAAAAATGCCATTCTCCATCCATAAATACAACAAATTTTAGACTGTTGATTATTTATCTTCTTGAAACTAAAGTCATGCAGGAAATCAGTAATTATTTTATTTCCATACTTTACAAAAACGTTTTTCCTTGATGTCACTTCCCACTCCCATGTTGTAATTTGGTATTAGAAAGTCTTCATAGAATTGGAAATCCCGTTTGGAAGCATATCTTGGTATGTTCGCCCTTTTCCACTAAAAATATTTTAGCTACTGCAGAAAGAAGGTACAGAAGCCACAAAGTAGAGGAAATTTGCATGTTTTAATATTTCTGGATGCTGCCATTGTATCAAGTCTCTAAAAAAGAAAAAAGTGAAAATATTTTGCTTTTATTCTACCTTCTTTGTGCCCTGGCTGACTGATCTGAAATCTCAAATGAACTGATGTTTTTGATAATCGTGTTTATTTTTCTAATGTGTTTGTGACAGGAATAAGCCAGCAAGGTGATTAACTGTTTTGCAGGAAAAAAAAGAAATATTTTTGCAGCCTTAATGTTCAAACCCTGTCATTCTCTGATCTTTAGTTCCTCCTATACATTTTAAAGAGGAGAAGGAAAAGGATTGATTGATTGTTAAATGGATGTTTAATTAACACCTTTAATGCTTTGTGTTTGTAAATATATATAGGAACCCGATGAAATATAATGTGTGAATGTGAGTGACATCATGACAAGTGTTAGACAGAGAAAGGGAACAAAAAACACCAATGTTGTACAAGATTGTCTATCACAGGAGAAAAACTGGAAACTTAATGGGAAGAACATAGCTGGTAAGTCATAGTTGGGTGAAGAAAAATTAAAATAACTTTTTATAAGTGTACAAGGTATCCCAAAAGTCTTAGTGCAGTTTTAAGCTTTTAAAGTTTACAATTGCACTAAAACTTTTGGGACAGCCTGTATAAATAAAGTAAAGGCATTGTAGTTTGTTTGAATAATGACTGTTTTTAAAGCAGTAAAACTGGAGCATTTGTGACATGTGTATCATTCAGCTGCAAAATACTGAAGTCGGCCTTGGTTAGAATAACTGAGATTCCTTCTCAATACGGCATTTCAGTAGATTTCTTGATTATAGCTGTCTTTGCATAAAATATCAAACTACAATTTATGCAACACATTTTAGTCTAACATTTTGTGCCAGCCTAGATCAAGTTGCTAGCTTAAGAATCAGGCTGCGATGTTGATCCAGTAAAGCTGATTAATTCCATAAATCATTGTTCAGTTAACCATGGGCTACCATATCATGCAAACATAGCCTACTCCTGTTTACAGAAGGAAGGGTGTTTCATGATAAAGTTGTTTTGATTTCTGAATTTCCACGCAAAATATTCCTGTGCTTTATTTGCACATACCATGGTGACATCTTGTCATGAAGCGAATCAGCTCATAAAATATAACTTTGCATACATTGCATCCTGTTAATAAGGAACAATCCAGCTTTAGTGCTTGGGCTTTCACTGAATTTGAGCCTCTTTTGTCAAAGTTGGTAGAAGTGATCCCTAAATGCACTAAATTGGAAATCTGAGAAAAGCAATGGATCTATATAAAGGAAATGCACATAGAAGAGTCGTGTAGAAACCCAGTTGGCATCAGCATCTTGTAATGCTTAAGGGTGTTTGTTTTTGCTACTCTGTCAATAGAAGTCCACCAGTAATTATATGTTATTAGTGGAGGCTGTTTCCATACACTGAATATTTTGGGAAGGAGAAAAGTGTAGTTTAGCTAATAAAACCTTTGAAGATTAAAGAAAATGTTGCTGTGATTAATAATAAATTCACCCTGTTGTAATGTATTAGAGAACATATCCCATAAAGCAGGGTTTTTCAGACCGGGTTTCACAGAACCATGGGGTTCCATGAGGATTTGAATGGATTCTGCAGGACTAAGGGGGTGGGAAAAGATTTAATCCCTTGCAAAGATATTTTGTTTTTCCTTAGTTTTCTGCAGAGATTTTCTTCCCTCTTAGGAACTTACAAAAACCAACACTGAAGAGCAATGTTGAGGAACAGATAATGAAAAGGAAAAATTCTCTGCAAAAGACTAGCGGGGGGGCAATGGAATGGTATGGCAGAAAGAGTGGGGCTAGTCAGGTGACGTTCAGGAGCCCCGCCCCTTCCAATCAGGGGATCTGGGAATTTTTTTTTTTTTAACGGACAGATTCCGTGGCCTGAACATAACGGAACCCCCCAGTAAAAGATTCATCAAAGAATTTCCAAATGCAAGATGTTGGCCGTGGAGATATTTTTGAGCTTATCAAGCCTTCCATTATTGAGGAAAGAATGCCACGCAGAACACTTTTTGAACCACGCGCAAACAAGCAATTCTTCCACGCAGCAGGAATAGCAATCTTAAGAAAAAGCCCTTAGCTTGTGCTTTTTTCCAGTATTCTGCTACATTAAGCCACAATGGGGTATTTGGGGTTTGGGCTTAGCATGTTGAGTGAATTCAAACAATGGAGTTCTTGGTGCTCTCTGAGTTTGCAGACAACCAGGCTCAGAGGGCATCAAGAACTCCGCAGTTCAGCCCTGAGTTACAGAACTCTCTTCTGCTGGAACTCAAACAATGACAGCATAATCAGTAAACCATTCTCAGACCAAGCAAAGGTTAGCTGAAGGGGTGAACCCAGACCATGAAAACTGGTCAAAGCCGTGTAAGTAGCATTAGCAGGAAAGTAACATTTAGCTTTTGTAGAGTTAAAAAGGTGCTGTAATACAGGAAGTTCTCTTTGGTCCAATTTCTGCTTCCCCCGTGCAGTACTCCATCTGGGTAAAACAACCACAGCTTTCAGCTGGACTCAGGGGTTTTAGTGTAGGTTTTGTTCCTGGTTTCCATTTTCTGTGCTATGTTGGGAAGAAATAAAATGGTCTATGTGCGTATGACAAATCGGTGTTATTTGTTTATGGATAGAACATGGGCAGTAACTGGAGAAGAGTCTTCAGTTCATATCAAACCTTCTGAATTTAAACTCTTAACTTCTATAGGTGCAAAACTGTGGAAGAAGGTTTCACTTGTTTTCGGTGGAACAGTGGGCCTTTCCTTGGGAATACTCACATCTGTTTACGTTGCTACGCTCCATGAAAATGATCTGTGGTTTTCAAACATCAAGGTAACAAGATGGCTGCAATTCTTTGTTGCCTTCTAAAAGTTTGGGTCTGTTCCTGTTTTACATGTTCTTTATCATAAACATGTGTTTGCATAGGCAATACAATCGATATACTTAGTGGTATGTGTTGAACATTTAACAGGCCAGGAAGCTGCACAGTTGTGTATTCTTCTTTAATGCACGTCACAGCACGTTGTTGTGTCCTGTGTGATTGGACTTCCTAAAGTCATGGAAGCAAACATGTTGTTATAATCCTAGCCTTGAAGCTTTTAAGCAAGATACCGGTAGATTTAATTCCCTGACTGGAGCAGTTGAGTATCAGTAGTAGAATTCATTTTGTGATACATCAGACTGTTTTCATCTAACGATGTCATGATAATAGGGCCAATTTGATCTTGCAGCAAATTCAATTGCAATTTCTTTGTTCGCCCTTGCAGGATAAAGCAGGGCCCCAGAGTGATTGAAAATCTGCCAAGAAAAAAGTGAGAATTGGTTCAATAACTCAGCAGTTTGAACACAACATTTTTTCTTTGATGAAACAAATAGCTCATGTAGGATAAGAATAGAGATCTCGTATTAATATTATTTATTATTTATTTATCCATTTATACCTGTCACAGTCACAAGACTTTCAGCAGCTGCAATAATTAGTAGCAACACAAGTATTTAAATAACATGTTCACATTTTAAATATCTATATATATAAAATATATACAATTCTATTAATATTAGTGTTAATAGTAAGGAAGAACCTACTTTGCTTTCTTACTAGTATTAATATGACCAGAATGGATTTTACTATTAAATTGTTATGCTCTGGCCACAATTGATGTGAGAGTCTAGAAAAAGTAGAAATTGCTATAGAACTGGCAAATAAGGAAAGCAGATGTTAGCTTAGTATGAAACAGATGTAAAACAGTAATGTTTACCTCATAAAGTATGGCATTTGGTGGAATACAGCTGGTACCCAGCTCACAAATTAATCATGTTTGATGCATTCTTGCTAATTAGATCCCCCTCTATGATCAGTCTTCTCCCCCCCCCCCAATTAAACCCAAAATGTTTTAAAGATACGTTAGGTAATATTATGTATTATATACAATTTTTTCCAAACGTGTAACCAATGTGGAGACATCAGTCATATTAACCTACAAGTTTTTGGACTGATTGAATTTAGGATAGAACAGTCATACCCGAACCACTGAACGTGCTTTAGAACCTCATGTTTCAAAAGGTTGTGAGACCCACCATCTGGAATTGTTGCTTTCACTCTGGATTTGGATTCATACTGTGTGGTAAAAAATTTGTATCCCCACAAACCATAACAATCTCCGGGGCATCCTGACATCATCGCACAACTGACCTGAACTATTTGGGCCAGTTGTGACCAGCACAAATAATTTGTGTCATTTGTGTGCTGATGTCATAATGTGGATATTGGTTCTTCCTTCCTCCCCTACAGATATCCTTGCTAACAATATGGTAACCCTTGGATGTCAGCAAGACAATGAAACAGACAAAGACAGCTTTAAAACAAGGGGAGTCTCTTAAATCTCTGCAACTCAGGAAATTAAAATCTTACCAGAATAAAAGCATCTGTCCCATGTTGCAGGAGACAAGATTATTTTAAATAGAAGGACTTTGTCTAATTCAAATTGGGATCAAAAGTGGAATGTAATGACAGGATGATGGCTGTAACATATAAATGACTTTATAAAGGACAAAACAGCATGAAGAAAAGACGTTCATAAGATTTCCATTGGGTTCAATCCAGATTAGAGTAGGCTAATTGATTTCAGTGGGTTATTCTAAGCATGTGTATTTCATCCAACTTTTGTGGTTTCGTTCCTAGATGTGGGTGAGAGAATTAAAAAAGAGAAAGAGAGAGATTCCAGTTGCCAATTTTGAATTTACAGAAGTCCAAGAACACTTCTATTCTTATACATACAGGCACATCAGTTAAGAGTTTTTGTTAATTAGCATAAAATCACAAGAATTGCTAGATTCACAGAATTCAAATTCAAGAAATAATGTTAGTTTAATTTTTGTCTTGATTATAGCACCTATGCTGGTTATCTGAAATGAAATGGGGATTGTAGTCCCTTGCATTTCTCTAGTAATTGATGTTTTGGTGACAGCCAAAGTTTTCTGGAATATGTAGATTCTGGAAAGAAGAACTTAAAACTTTGCTGTGTCATCAACTCATAAAATGATCTTGATTAATCTTTCAACCTCAATTTCACACTGCTTGAGCTAGGAAAGGTAGTGATCTGTGGCATGGAATAACTGTATTGAGAAATGAGATAAGTATTACAAACTGCTTTGTCTATTTAATATATGGGTTGCATCCAGACCGAATCATGCATAAAATAGATGCATTGAAATCAGTAAGTGTGAATTTAGTCCATAAGCTTAAACAGATGTATTTTATAAATTCTTATCGATCTTGCTTTAACTGTATTCTACTGAAGACTAAATGGAAACATTGCAGTCAGACCTAATGTGATATGTTTGGTTTTAGCATAGCATTTGCGATATATCAACCATAGTTCCAGCCTTCCAAAGTGTGAACCGAACCAACCGTAGGATGTTCAACAAGTCATAGTTAAAAGTAGTCTTCGTGTGATGTGTGAACCCAGCCCAAGTGTATTAAACAGGTCAAGGTCAAGCAAAATTAATAGATGCATAGTTTAAGTTTCTTCTTGCATCTCAACGGATTTGCTTTCTTATAGGAAGTAGAACGGGAGATTTCCTTCAGGACAGAATGCGGTTTGTACTACTCTTATTACAAACAGATGCTGGGGGCTCCATCTATTCAACAAGGTATTGTCGAGTTGTTGTTTTCCATGTTGGTTTTCTGCATCAGAAACATAGGATTCAACTATTCTGTGCCTAGAACCCAATTATCCAGCTTTCCCTTCTGTTTCCATAGCATTTTTGGAATAAATCTCATAAACACAAGCAATTTTTTGCTACTGCTTTTTAGACCTACAGGTGTCTGTGGTTTCTAGCTGTCATTAAATAGTAGTTTTCAGATTTTCTTGACTATAAAAAGTAATCTCTGGAGCACTTCATTTACTGGAAAACCAGCCTTTTCTGTCAGACTATTCATAAGAACAGGAATGATAATCCTATACCTATTTACAAGGGACATAAATAGGATTTACTTTTGAGAAAACACGTTTGGGAATGCACATAACCTGCTCTAAGAGAATCTGCATATTCTCCCACTCAAATAAAGGAGGGTGGAATCTAATTTTGTATTTTCTCAGATTACTTACATATTTTTATTATAAAAAAAAGTGTTTGGTTTAAATCCAGGAAACAGGGAAGGCTATCCATCAACAAACACATGTCAGACCATTTTAAATTTTGGATAATTATGACTCTTCCCCCCCCCCTAATCACAGTCTTCAAGAAAGTGAGAATTTTTATAGGCAATGCAAAATCAGCTGAAAATATTTGTGCAGGATAGAGTTTTTTTCACTTGACAGATTCTCATTCTATTGTGTACCTTGTGCTCAGAAGCAAAAAATGTCTGCTCTGGAGAGACCTTCTGGTCATCATTTTAGCATTATCACAGTTTGTTACAGATGCTTTCTATATTGTTAAAAATGCATGAATTTAACCTAAGTGTAAGTGGTGTGATGGTGAAGGTGTGAGACTAGGAGTTGAAAATCCCATATTCTAGTCCAGCTGGAGCCACAGAAATCCTGTGGGTGACTTTGGGCCAGGCACGTTCTCTCAGCCCAACCTACACCATGGAGTTTTTGGGGTAGAACACCAAAGAGGAGGGAACACAGTTTGGAACACCTGGAGCTCCTCAATGAAAGGTGGGATATAAATTTATTCAGTAAATAAAGTAGTATATTCTAAAGCAGGAAGCTAAAGAACATTTTTAGATAACGTCACTTTATATTATATTTATATAGAATTATTTCAGCTTCTTTCTTTGTAATTTCCCTTTTGCGGAAGGTTTTAACATTTTCATGGGTTTTTATAAGTAGTGGTGTCACGTTTTCCCTTCCTTCTCACCATGCAGGTATACACAGCTTGATCTATGACAATAAAACAGAATCCATGAGGACAGTTAATATACTTGGAAGAATGAATGTTTATCAAGAAGTATTTCTCAGCATTCTATATACAGTGTTTCACATGAAAGTAAGTTGTAACGAACAACTCCTAACAAAATCCTCAGGGAATTCAGTCACCCATGTTGTTATGGTTGTTGCATAAGTACAGTAGAATTTAATTTCATTTTTTATTTGTACACACACACATTCACACACACACACGCATAGCCCGAAGCATATTTCAGAGCCAATATGGTGTAGTGGTTAAGGCACCAGGCTAGAGACCGGGAGACTGGGAGTTCTAATCCAGCCTTCTGCACAAAGCCAGCTGGGTGACCTTGGGCCAGTCCCTCTCTCTCAGCCCTAGGAAGGAGGCAATGGCAAACCACTTCTAAAAAACCTTGCCAAGAAAACTGCAGGGACTTGTCCAGGTAGTTGTCAAGAAAGTTCTAATCCAGCCTTCTGCACAAAGCCAGCTGGGTGACCTTGGGCCAGTCCCTCTCTCTCAGCCCTAGGAAGGAGGCAATGGCAAACCACTTCTAAAAAACCTTGCCAAGAAAACTGCAGGGACTTGTCCAGGTAGTTGTCAAGAATCAAGACTGACTCAAAGGTATATTCCTTCTCAGAGTCGGTTTGGTGAAGTGGTTAAAGTGCTGGACTAGGAGTGGGGAAACATGAGTTCTAGTCCTGCCTTAGGAACAGAAGCCAGCTGGGTGACTTTTGGGCCAGGCACTCTTTCTCAACCATAGGAAGAAGGTTCTGACTGTCAAAGCTACTTCTAAAAATCTTGCCAACAAAAATGCAAGGATTGGCCCTTGTAATCCCCCAGAGTCAAGACTGCCTCGAAGGTCCCAAAAACGAGCATATTTACTTAGAAGTAAATCTTACTGTGTTCAGTGGGGCTTACCCCCAAGAGAACACCCAGGCTTGAAGGATTACAGAACATTTTACTTGGACATAAATCGTATTTCCAGTTTCAACAGGATAGGCTTCCTAATAAATAGGATGGGTTTTACAGAAATGCTTTTAGATACAAACAGTTGATTTCATGCTAAAATGAATAATGACCACTTCACTATTTTATTTATCCTTCTCTTGCAGAAATTTTTAGAACCTGTTTATTTTTACATCTACACACTGTTTAGCCTTCAAGCCGTATATGTCATTGCCTTATATGCGACTAGCTGGCTTCTTAGTGGAACGTGGCTTTCGGGTGTATTAGCTGCTGTCTGGTATATAGTCAACAGGTGAGGTTATCTTCTCCTACCATCATCTGATTTTTACCATGGGGAAAGTTTGACATGAGCAGATCAGAATGTTTACATTAGGAGAGATACCTTGGGGTAAACCAGGCATACAACGCCTTTGGAAGTACAGATGTTGTGGGAATATAATTCTGGTCTGTGCTTGTTGGGTAATTGGAATCTAACCACAGTGGAAGTGTCAGCCCTTCAAGATAGATCAGACTAGGAAACCACTGTCATGTAGGCCAGTGCTAATTTTATTATAAACTTCTAGTAACAATCTTGAAAGTCTGAATACACTGCCATCCACCCTCCTTCCTTTTATCTTTCTGCGAACTAGGGAGGGGCTTGTCTGAGATGCTTATGCATATTACAGTCTTGCTCTGGACTCGGGTTTCTTTTATCTGACCATTGCCTTGTCAGCAGCTCTTCCTCCTGTCTCTCAAGACCATTCCTTCTGCTCTTTAGGAAGGGCTATAGATCTCTACCATTGCTAAGAATTTATATGTGAATGTAAAGGAATGTCAAAATGACCTTGGGGAAGGAATGGATGAACTGTTGAGAGAGGAGAAACAGCAACTCAGTCCTGGGAAAGTAGAAAGGGTAAGAAAGAGACTCAAAATAACTCCACCTTGATTCTGTTTGGTATAAGAGGGGGCAGAGGGAAACTCTGGCAGGCTTTCAAGATTCTGTTGTTATATCCTACAACAATAAAGTAGCATTCCTGGAATCCTTGCAGTATCTTTTTCCTGATCTGGCCTACTTCAAAAGGCTGGCATCAATGTTGAAAGCATATTTGGCATTTAATGTTTACAAGACACTATGAACTAGAGAACCAGTTTGGTGTACTGTAGTGGTGAAGGCACCAGGCTAGAAACCAGGAGACTGTGTGTCTAGTCCTGCCTCAGGCCAAAGCCAGCTGGGTGACCTTGGGCCAGTCATTCTCTCTTAGCCCTAGGAAGCAGGCAATGGCAAACCACTTCTGAAATCTTGCCAAGAAAACTGCAGGGACTAGTCCAGGCAGTCACCAGGAGTCAACACTGACTCGAAGGGCCAAAAAAAATGGAATGTATTACCTAAATCTAGACCAGAAATTCTATAATCTCACTATATTCCTCTCTGTTTGAAACCTGATTGTTTTAAAAAAATAAAACACCTTTTAAACATTAATCTGATTAGCCTGAAAACTTCTTTGCCATATTTCCTAGTAGGCAAAGAATATTCCAAGTGTGTTTCAATTTCCTCCTCGTGGATGTTTCCCCATCTTAGCTCAGAACTTCTCCTTACATAACCCTTGCCTTTAATTTCCACAGAGTAGATACGACCCGAGTGGAATTCACCATCCCACTAAGAGAAAACTGGGCACTGCCGTTCTTTGCTGTTCAACTCACTGCAATTACTTTCCTCTTGAGACCACATTTACAATCTACTCATGAAGTACGTCTTTGTTTCCATGTCAAAAACATTTTTTCAGGAAAATGCCATGCTAAAGGATTTGGATATAGCTAAAGATACATTGGCAACAATATCGAAACAAACCTATCTCACAGCATTGATTGAATTGATCCTACGGAGACTGCATATACATTGAAGCAAGCTATATCTAGCATTTACCAAAAAGAGCTTAGCATTTAATGCCAGAGTCAGGAGAAAATGGATCCATAGATTGGTTCAATCGTTGCACTCAACTGGTTAGGAAGTGCCTGTTTTTTGTCCTTGATGTCCCATGAAGGAATAGCCATAACTGATGAAAACTAATAGCAGTTTTGTGCCATTTTGAGGTGGGAAACACATGAAAACTGAAATGTAAGTTCTTAAGTAGGCATATCACAAGGTTTGTTGTTTTTTTTTTAATTCTCCTACAGCTTCTTCCCCGAACTGACCCCACCTATACGTGCAATGTGGGACCGTTCTCTTTGAAGCCATCAGCACCCATCTTGACCACCACCAGATGGTTACCCACTCCTATAAATCAATCAAGTTTATTACAGTCTTAAGGCCAGATATAGTCAAAATATCTAATAATAGCAGTATTACATCCTTCTACATATACGTATACATATACGTGTATGACAGAAAAACAAATATAATAGGGCCTAAAATAATTAAGAATAAATCAAATCAAAAATCAAACCGAAAAATAAATCAAAATAAAATACTACTATAAGAAATTCCAAACCTAGGTAATCCACTCCTATGAACAGTAACAGTGGTTTGTTTGCTAGCTTGGGACATAATGGGATGTATGAACCTCTCCGTTGATTGCTGAATGTTGTGTAGAGATCCAGCCATTTTGGCTGGTTAACAAACTGCTTTTAAAATCCTGGATTAGCGTTAGGCCATGGAGTGGCCATGGAGGCACACAACTCGGTTGTTCAGGACTGGATAACCTGTTTCTCCTTTGGCTTGCATTTTTGATTTATGGGATTCTTTAAAAAAAAAAAGCTTCTGGCACTGTATGTGCTCTGTTGGATTAAAGAGAGAATACTTCTGTAGACACTGGGGGTTGGATGGTTTGTTGCTAGATGGGAAAGTCCAATCATTTCTTTCTTTTTGGGCTACTATGATCTTTCCTGATGTTTCTCATTCACTGGATTTTCTTCTCCCCCCCCAGAGGTTGACACTTCTAGCAGTGTTTATTTCAACCTTCCTCTTAAGTTTGACTTGGCAATTTAATCAGTTTATCCTGTTGATCCAAGCAATGGCTTTGTTCACGCTCGACTGTCTTGACATGATTCCTGAAGGAAAAGTAAGTTAATTACTGAATGGGGCAGCCATTGATGCAGACTTAAGCCGTGTTGAAATAATAGGAGACCCACACACTTGGCTGCGGTTGATAGTATCCCACTGTATACAATATACATCCTGAAAGGGGTGGGGTTATTAAAAATAATGAACTTATACTGGGCTAGATGTAAAGCAAACCGAGTCATCTTAATTTAGTCTCTTTCATCCAAGCATTAATAAAAAATAAACTCTGTCTTGCATCATTTCTTAATCATTTTTGCAGATCATGTGGATCTATATCATGCAGGTGGGCAGTCTGCTGATGGTTTACATCTTACAGTTCTTTAATTCCATGATAGTTGGATCATTGCTTGTAAGCTTCAATATGTCGGCCTTGTTAGCAAGAAAACTTCAGGTACCTGCTCCGTTTTTGCTTTACCAAAATAGCTAGCAAAGAGAATGAAAAGGCTATTGTTTACCTGCTCTTAAATCGATTGTATACCATTATAAATGGTATAATTGTATACCATTATAAATGGTATACAGCAAGCACAGATAAATATTATTTATGCTTTATTTCTTCCCCTCTCCCTCTCTGTCCTCCTGGCTTACTATTTTAACTAGAACTCAAATATAGCATTTCCATAGTGTTTCCTTCCTTTCTTTTTTCTTCAGGTTGAGTTCCCCAATCTCTTTCTTTCTTTGCGTTAGATTATCCGAAACTATATCGCTCTGTGTTGTAGGGCGATGACTGAAGCAGAATTACCTCCAGTCACCTGAGCCACAGCCTGAGACAATTTTTTGAAATCACCGGAAGGGCTGGGCAGAATTTGTTTGATCCTATTTCTTTTTAAATTTGGGGGAGTTTGGGAGTTAATCGGTGTGCCAAGCTAAGCTTCTCAGAGGTTGAATGTGCCTACTTGGCTGCTTTGTTTGTAAAGCAGAAAGACTATTGTTCAATGGTGCTTCTGCCCCATTTCGCAAAAGGAACCTTAGAACATTTTAGAACTAGGAAAATAGAGGCTGGAGACCCACAATGTTTGGTCTTTTGCACGTAGATCCCTGGGTTAAAGCTTGAAAAATAAGGCTTATAACCTTGGGCTAAAATAGTGACTTCAGACTTTTTTTTCTGCCCCACTTTAAAAGTAGTTTTGTTTTTTAATCTGCTCTGCTTGTACTCTATCTCTAGAAAAGGTCCTTCATTCCACAACATTTCTATACAAACGCATCTGTACATTCATGATTATATGAATGCAGAACCCGGAGGAAAATCTGTCTTTGGAAACATCACCAGCAGTTTCCTTTTTATGCTTGTTTTGACTATGAAGCTGAAAATGTCCTTTATTGGATAGCAACAGATGGTTAATATGATAGTAATATTTTTAATTAATTCCAAAGAGCAAGAAATACCAAATCACATAATTTGTCTTGTCGTAGATGCATTTTAAGTACCGTTACTGCTTGCATTTTCCAGAATAACTTGAAAACTGGAGGCTTGTTTAGCAGAGTTGGGAAACTTCTTTTTCATGTGCTCTTAGTGCTGTGCTTGACATTCCTTGTGAATAATTTTATTAAGGTAGGTAAGTTTTTTTCCCCCTATCTATCTAGCATCATGTTGAAATGAATATGGGACATTTAAACCTTAGGCGCTAAATCATAATGGACCATATCTATTCATGTAGAAGAGCTTTTCGATCTGTCTTCCTTCTACAGAGCCCCATGGCTCCAATTTCTTTTCCGGTGGGTCCTCCACACTTCTGGAACAGATTTTTGGGTTCCCATGAATCTTCAGGGAAAAGAAAATCTGTTTGCCTTCCCCAATGGATGCTGCTCCATTAACAGACAACACTGGATTTCAGTAGTTGTGAGAAAAGGATAAATAAATGTTGTTCTTTAACTGTCTAATAGCTAACAGTGTTCAGTTATCAGAAGAAAAAGGATCTTGCTTTCTGTTTTAGATGGATGAATACAAACATCCACCACTAAAATTTTCACCACTGTATATCAACAGCTCTGCCTCTTCTGTTTTTCGTATTCTTCCTGAGTTTTTTACTCATTCATTTATAAGAGAATGGATATAATATGTTTCCGCTAAAAAGAGCTTCCAGGGAAAAAAGTGATTAAAGACCGGTTAAAGAATTTTTGATAAAGAGAAAGAGACAACAGAAAGCAGTCCTGTAATTTAGAATCTCCTCATTGAGATCAAATGCCTTCCTTCACTTAAAAGGCCTTTTAAAAAGTGACAGCAGTGTAACGCAGTTGGAGCTAAGAGGAGTCCTAGGGCAAGGAATGCCACAACCTAGAAGTTGTCTTTTCACATTTATCAGCGAAGAAAGAAGTTGAAGGCTTGAACAAAGTAGACCCACCGATTTTTCATTTCCCAATAACTGTGTGAGTTATAGGGAAAAATAGATGAGGATTCCTGTGGCTCTTGATGCTCTTATAAATTCAGCTTTTTATTAATCTTTGTTCATACTTAAAAGGAAAGCATAGATTATTTTATTAGTCCTCTGGGTAACTTGAGATTTTATTTCTATTCAAGATAAACATTATGGGGGAAAAACTAGTTAAATGTTAAATTACAGGCTGATTTTTGCAAGATTTCATGACATTTGTCAGTTACAGTATAGGTAGTCCTCAGTTAACCACTGAAATTGGGACCAGGAACTCCATTGCTAAGCAGTACGGTTGCAAAGCAAAAAAAACCACATGATTGTGTCAGCTTAAATGGCAGTTCCAGCTGTTGTCACTAAGTGAATCCTGCATGGTCGTTAAGCACAATGTCACATGACTGCGACTTGCTATTTCCTGCCAGCTTCCCCACTGGCTTTTCTTGTCAGAAGCCAGAAGGTTGCAAATGGCAATCATGTGACCATGGGGATGCTGCGACAGCCGCAAGTTCGAGGACCAACCGTAAGTCTCATCATTCAGTGCCATCACAATTTCAAATGGTCACTGAACAAGTGGTCACTAATAATATGGATTATTTCACAGCTTGAAAGAATCCCAAAGTAATAACTTTCAGGTCATGAGGACAGGTTGGCAGGAAGGGAATAGCTGAACAGTAATTTCCATAGAATATAAGTACTGTAAATTTCTCCTTTCTCCATAGAAAATTTTAAATCTGGAATCAGATGAGCATATATTTAAATTTCTGAAAGCAAAATTTGGATTTGGAGCAACAAGGTATGGAAACCATTGTTTTTCTAAAGTATTTCCTTAGAAGGTAGATCTTTCCATGTGTCAGGTACATGCAGGATATAGTTCTAATAAATAAACACCTTACATCACAGACTTCGTCCTCATAACTTTCTTCTTATTTCTTTAGAGATTTTGATGCTAACCTGTACTTGTGCGAAGAAGCTTTTGGTCTTTTGCCTTTTAATACTTTCACAAGACTTTCAGATTCACTAGTTTTTTATGCCTACTTGTTTGTACTTTTGATATTGGCCACAACAGCTGCTGTTGTCTCTTTTCAGAACCTCAGGTACGTCCGTTTATAAACCTGTAGAGTTTTGCTCTGTTTGTGTGGTTTTTCCCACTGGCTAAGAGCAGGAACCGATTAAGAGAATTTAGCAATCTGTATACGCCACTGATTGAAGTCACGTATCTGAAGCATCGTTGCGAAATTGTTAGATTTAGTCTTCCCCGCCCACCCACGTATGTAATAGTCGCTATCTAAAGATGAGATGAATATCCATGATTCCCATTGGATAAGAAAAAACATCCCCCCTCCTTCCAAGTAAACTTGTCAGGTAAATATTTATTTACCCAGATGTACAGACCATCCCCATTGTGTGCAGAATTATGATGCGCAAATAAAAATCACGTGCTGCTTCTATTTATTTGACTCCGGTATCATATTTCCTGGTCCTGTGTAAAAGTGAAAAATCTCACACGGGGGAATATTTAGCACATTCAACCAATAGAATCCATTACAATTGCATTAGAATGTTTTATTGTCTCAAGAGGGTGCTCTGAGCTGCATACAAATGTCCCGTTTTAAAAGAACTTTCGAGCCTTGTCCTCGCTGGCCACAGCGTAACCACGTTCTTCTTTTCTCCTCCTCTGTTGACTCAGTGGTCGTTCCAGCATCAAATCAGTGGATAAACTACCCACGTCCACAACAGTGTTGAAACCTGCCACTGCTTACCACTTGGTACACACTATTTCATTTGGGATCCTGGCTTTAAGCACAATGAGGTACTTTTAATCTAGTGTATCTATCTGAAAACCACTTAACAGGCCGTCGGAAATAACAAAGAACCAATAAGGCAGGGGCTTGGTGACTCTACTGGGTGTTCTCCCTTTTTAATAAGTTCCACAAAGCTGCAGTGTAGTCCTCCTCTAAAATGTATGGCAGAATAGAGGCTGTTCCTTTATACTTTTTTCTGATGAGCAGTCAGTTGGGTTTCTTTAACAGCCTGGATAGCTGCTTTTAAATAACTTAATGATCAGCCACGACATGAGAGCTATTTTTCACTTTCTGGGGGTAAACAGATAATAGAAATGGCTGGTGTGGGTCTTCCGGGCTGTGTGGCCGTGTTCTGGAACTTTTGTTTCCTAACGTTTCGCCAGCGCCCGTGACCGGCATCTTCAGAGTGCAGGAGCACAGACAGGAGCAGTTCTCTCTTGCTCCTGCTCTCTGAAGAT